TCTAGCCTGCAACATAAAAATAATTTTTCTATATTTTTTTCTCTTATGTTTGTGAAGGTTTTTCTCCAGGTGCACTATTCAGTCTCTTTATAATCTCATTTTCATTATAAATGTATTTATAATGTATTACTACATTTGTTTATGTAAGTTGTTCTCGGTTATTGGTTTAGGTTACCTACGTTTCTGGAAGACTGGTTACAAATTGAGGTTCACACTCCTTCATCTGGGTTTATTCATTAGAATGACTCATAGAACTCAGGAAAGTGATTTAGGTAATTGATTTATTGGATTCTTATAAAGAACACATAACTCAGAAATAGTCAAGCGACTTCCTATGAGAATATGGAAGCTAGATAACAGCAGCTATGGAGGTTCTCTGAGATAGCCAGCTTAGAATCCAGCAATGGTGCCGTGTGAGGAGTCCTAAGTAAGGGGAGATATACCCTGCTGACCCAGGAACAAACTAAGCTGAGAGAAACCAACTGGAAATACAATCCCGGTGCTATGACTAGAACAGATAAAATCTCAGTGCCAAAGCTGGAACCCACACCTCTGGAAACCATGATTTGAATTTCCTGCTGCTGCGTCTGAATCAGCACAACAGGGATAGAGATGCAAAAGCTCTGAGAGTGGGAATCAGTAAACCAAATTGAGAGCAGAACTGGCAGGGAGCCCTGCATCAACCTGCAGTGAGTGAGAGGAATGGGGACCCTTCCATAGACTAGGAGGCTCCAACAAAGGACATTCTGGGACCAGGCAGACTAGCCAGAACAGGATGCTACAGTGACTTTGGTAGCATATTCCCCTAAAGTGGGATTGATGGGAAGCACCTGACCTGGGTGAAGCCATGGGCTAAGACCCAGTAGGCTAGCCCAAACCAGGTCCCAGTGCCTGGCGGTGCACCCTAGCAGTGAAGCCTTCAGTAGGTGACCTGGAGGGGTGGGCCCAACATATGCTGCCACAGTCTGTGTCTCCCTAGTACACTGCAGTGGGTGGGAACAGCTAGTATGTGGATTCAAACAAACTGTAACCCACAAAGAAAGAAACTGGGGCTCCTATGTATGCCTATATGGAAGGAACAAAAAATATGAGAAGAGGAGGCAACAAGAAAGGATCCTTGGTCCCCAATCCTGAGAACACTGATCCAGGAAAGGTAAATGCAAAGGATAATGAGGACAGAAAACATGCAATATCAGACACAGCACCAATAGACATAAAACGATATCACGGGAGCCTCATAGATGAGTTCAAAAGCGAAGTGTTTAATGAAGTAAAGCAAGATACAACTAGAATAGTTGGAGAAATGCTAAGCACTGCCCAAGAAAAAACAGATGGTGGAATGGAAGAATAGAAAAAAAGGGGACAATTGTTTGATGGAGAAAATAGAGAAAACATAGAATACGTGAAGCAGGTTCAAAGAGATTACCAGGAAACTAAAAACTCTATTGAAAGCTGGCATAGTAGCTTGAAAGAAACTAAGGATAGATTATCTGAGGTGGAGGGCAGATTTGTAATGTGGGAGCATTAAATGAAAAACTTCTTAAAAATAACAAGGAAACAAACAGCAATAATACAAAGGCCAGAAGATGATAAGAGGATCTATAACATAAGAATTCAGAACATAAAGGAAAAAGTAGGGACACAAACAAATGAACTACAAAGGTTATTCACAGAAATAATCCAGGAGAATTTCCCTAATTTAGCAAAAGGTAAAGATACATCTGTATGAGGCATACAGGATGCCAGCCACCTACAACCCAAATAGAACTACACCCAGGCATATAATAATCAAAATTCCAGAAATCCAATATAAGAACAGAATATTAAAAGCTGTCAGAGACAAGAAACAGATCACTTACAAAGGAACACCCATTAGAATTACAGCAGACTTCTCGGCACAAACCATCAAATCATGAAGAGCATGGGGGGAAATAATTCAAGCTTTGAAAGATAATAATCTGCAACCAAGATTAATATATCCTGCACAACTGTCCCTAGAAATTAATGGAGAAACAAGGTGCTTCCAGGATAAAGAGGAACTAGAGGAATTTGCAACCACCAATTCAACTCTACAGAGAATACTGCAGGACATTCTAGAAAAAGAAAAATACCAGGATTTCAGAAACAGTGGCAGAGCTCCATTCCACAATGAATGGAGCTGAAAGTGAAATGAATAAGACAAACTGACAACTAATGACAAAAAAAGAGCTCAACAGAAATGAGACAGAGAAGGTTGGATGGCAGGAACAGCTATTTTGGAGAAAACAAGACATCATAATAGCTAGTGCTGATTTAATATCATCTTGTTTTGAAGTCCCATCAAGCTTTTGTTCTTCTGTCTACATCGGTCTTAACATGTTGTATCTTATTGGATTTTATTATATGTGATAATATAAATGAAAACTTTTATAGACAAGGAGATTATACAGAAACCATTGTTCATTTTCTGTTAGTTATTCTAAATACCCTGTAATAATGCCATTCTCTTGAATGGTTTTACATTGTCTTGATAAGTTTGATGCTACAGTATATGAAGTTATACTCAAAGATTTCAAGGAAAGAGACACTATGGTAACTGCTTTTATGTCGGGATATCTTGTGGTGAAACTCTATTTTGCTTAAATGGTTATGTTCTGACCTGTGCTGTTTTGTTGCTGTGTCCTCTTTTATCTCAATCTCCTTTTTTTTATTATTTACTTTTTTATTTTTATCTTTTTCATTAAGGGAAAAAATAAATAAAAATAGCAGGATATATTATAGTAACCCACTTTGATTTCCTATTAACTTGATTTGAAATCCTGTATTGCTCTTGCCATCTTGTTTTGACTGATTTTCCTCTATTCTGTTTTGCTTGATACTACCAAGTTTGAGAGTATAGGCAACAACTGTGAAGACAATAAGATTAATTATGATGCACATTCTGGTATGACTATTATCTTCTTTTGAAGTCCTGTAATGTTTCCAATGTTTTGGTTTTATTGGTTCTTTACTGTTTTGTTCAATTCTATTATAACTGATGATATAGGCAATTCTTTTTAAGGTAGCAAGAGGCATTATGGTAGCCATTGTTGATCACCTTGTATTCCGTTTTTACATTATGTATTATGTCCATCCTTTTGATTTGACTGACTCTGTTTTGTTATGTCACATTTGGTTTTATTCTCTTCAAAAAAAGTAATAAGAACTGTGGGAGTAATAAAACCCAAAATGTGAAATTGTTATTGGAAAAAATAGAGGAAAAGAAAGTGCTCTAAAGGGTATAACTGCATGTATATTTAAGTGTATAAGATAGATAACCATATTACTGAATTTTGTTGGATCGTTGGACAGAACTGTTTGTAGTCTCACTGTTTGAATGTCCACTTTATATGCTTCAATTTTGTAACTTAACTATTTCTAAGATGACAATATGTAATCTATTAACTAGTGATTCCCTCCTGTTTATTTTTTCTGAAATTCTGTATAACTTGTACCCTTTTTCTGTTTTTTTTCTTTTTCTCCTTAAATAAAATTAAAAAAAAAAGAAATAGTCAAGCATGAAAGAACCGTAAGTCTATTAAAGATGGTAAGGGTGTGTGTGTGTGTGTGTGTGTGTGTGTGTGTGTGTGTTGAAAATTCTAACTCTATAGTCAAGGTATGTTCTTTCTAGTTGAAAGAGGCTTCCTATGAATAGCCAGAGATTCTCTTATTACACTAAAAATAATGAAAATGTTATAGGTTCTGTAGCAGAATTCCATGAACAAAGACTAAACACACTGTACCCCACCCATAAACTTTCCTTTTCCATTGGAGCCCTCCAGGTTGAGGAATGTCTGGAATATAAGAGAGAGGAACTTGTTAATTGAAATAGTTTATAATTCCAATTATCCAGTCAATGAGGACATTTTATTACTGAAATTACATTTTTCTTATATCTGGAATGTGGAGGACTTTTTAATATTAACAAGGAACTAGAAAAAAGTGTGGTCCTTATCAGAAGTATAGAAAAGTTCTAGGGAATGGTTTTGTGGTCAGGAGAAAGAATAAAGCTGTTTTTGCATATGCCATACCTCTTTCAAGATAATAGCCTCATTTGCTGATGTTGTGCATGTGGAGAGGTATGTGAGTCCATATTGGTGGATATGGGTGTTGTGTTTACCACACCTTTTGACTGCCTAGAACTGAAGGCAATACTCAGCTCCTCTAAGATATCTTTCCTGACTAGCCCCTGACTATTTTCCTTGGAATTTGTGTGCCTCTTATTCTTAAAACCACATAATATAACTTGTAAATATGTAGACTGACCATTTATCTCTATTGGCCTTGTTGTGTGTATGTATTTTTGCCTCTCATTCTCATGATAAATCCCTTAGTAGAAACCAGCATGCTTCACTTTCTGAGTATTTCTTATGTATGTTTATACTTATAATCTAATACTACTACTTGGTGGATTGATCAGATATGTGCAAAATTTATGGCTAGTTCAAAGCTTGGTTAAGTGGCTACATATCCAATTCAGTTTTGTCTAAAATCTAAAAACTGTCTCTTGTAGGAAATGCTGGAACTCTTGACTCAATTTTCTTGTTGTTGTTTTTTAATTAGACAATGAAATATTGAATGGAATGTGCTAATGAAATATCTGAATCTTACATTATCTTTTATTTGTTGATAACAACTCTTACCTTCTTTGTTACAATGTGTCTACAGTGATCATGGATGGTGAAGGAGGCTAGTTTGATTTTATTTATCTGCCCATCCTCCATGCTGGCTGCCAGTGTCCTTGGCTACTCAGAGACATGAGATTTCTCAAAAGCACTTCAGTGCTCTGGGTGGAGCCTAATCCAGGCTGCTCTCAAACTCCTGAGCTCAAGGGATCCTCATACTTTAGACTCCTGAGTCACCAAGGCTATACGTATATGTTACTGCACCTGGTCATGGTCTATGGATTCTTGCTATGTCTGTGAACAAAATTCATAAATTGGATGTGTGTACTGAATAGATGAAAATATGCTTTTCTGCAGGTGATAAAGGCTTGCCATTCTTATCCCAAAGCAATCGAGGTTGTGGTCAATGCCTATGAGCACATCAGGTGGAACACAAAATGGAGAAGAGCTATCCCTGATGATGACTTGGAGGTAAACAAGGAATCTACTCATGATTTTACTAGTCAAGTACCATTAGACAGAAGAGCAAATACAGACCTTTCTAATTTAAAATACTTTATCTGGGAATTCTTTTAAAGCTTTTTCAAATATAATGGGATGAAGGGTTGTAAAATGCCCCTATGAGAGTATATAGTTCTATCATGAACATGATATCAGGGAGTTAATCTCTCAGGAGATTGTTCTATTTAAGGATAAGATGAATAAATATATAAAAGTAACAGCTCTACCTTCTTTTCAGTAATTTAGATGAATTAAATGATGATATTTGAAACTGCTCATGTAGCATTTTTGCCAGGAAGTTACACTATTTTGTGTGTATTATTTTACTCACTTTTAAATATTTTAAAGTGGTTATTAGTAAGTGGAAAACAACAACACAAAAAAGTGGCATAGAAAGTCACTGGCAGAGCCACATCTTCCTGTGCACTTCCAGACTTTGCTGCCTGAATCAACCATTTCTTCCTACCAAGTGTTCTATCTTTGGGTTTAGAAGTGAAAGTCTGTCTCCAACACATGGGACGGGATCAGAGTCTAAAGTCTAGGCTTAGGGGCTGATGATTAAGTATGCAATCTTATTCTGCTACTTATTAGCTAGCTTTCCTTTAAAAGTTATATAATCTGACTGATCTTCATCCCCCACTTTCATTAAATATCTGAATACATTTGTTACATGGACACATAGTGGAGATTAGCATAATTTAAAATAGCCATTTTGTCTTTCATGGGTCCAGAAAGTTCACATAAGTATAGTTTATATTTTTTTCTGAGTTCTGAATTATGCCATACTATTTTCTCTCCTCTCTCCTTCCATTTCCTCATCTCTCCATCTCAATTTCATGTTTAATTCTGTCATCAGAAACCCTCAAAAGCTGTCCTGACTAGAGTGAGGACAAAATGTACCATTGTTATTATCATTAATGTTTACTGTGGGATCTTCCTACCACTGACCTGTCTTGCCTTCCTTTTCAGAGGTACTGGGATTTTTACCAATCTCTCTTCACTGTGTGCTGTAATTCTCCAAGGACCCTCATGCATTTATCAAGATGCGCCATTCGGAGAGTACTACACAACAGATGCCACAAAGCAATTCCTTTGCTTTCCCTCCCATTGTCATTGAAAAAGTACTTGCTTTTAGAGCCAGAGGGAATAATTTATTAAGCCTTATGAGACAGCAGTTTCCAGTCCTAGATTTCTAAGAGGACACGCTTGGTAGACACAGTTTGCATAAATAAAATGGTACTTGGGTTGATTATAACACTCCAGGGATTTCAAAACACTTTACAAACACTGTCATTAATCTTGGCATATTATGGTGATGGGAAATAAACAGGTACAGGTAAGGAATTTTCAAAGACAAGAAAGTATTCAGAAAGTACTGCTATTATAGTAAAACTAATATGTACAGTACTCATACTAGATGCTGTAATATTTTGTTTAATTTTGCATATATTATCTAATCTGAAATGGGACCTAATTTTTCATAAAATCAAATTCTGTGACATCAGTAATAAGTTTACGTTACTGTTCAGTTAGCAATATAGCAAGTTTTGTGTTCAGTTTCTTAAAGTTGGTGTCTTACTCTGTGACTGTAGCAGTAACTAACTAGCACTAGATTTGTAAAATCCTACTCTCCCAACCAAGGTCCTCAAGTTGTTTTAGTGAAGAGTGCACCTAAAAATAGTCAAAGCAAGATCTGTGAGTCAAATTAGCAATAAAGAAAGACCAATCCACTTCGTAGTTAGGAATGGACATGTCAGCGCACACACACACACACACACACACACACACACACACACACACACATTGAGCCAGAGACTGGAGATGCAAACAAGAGTGAAAAAGAACTCCTGCCCTCCACGATCTCCCCTTTTGGCAGAGGATCCAGACATATAAGCAGGCAACCGTAGTGCAGAATGATACAGGTACAAAATCACAGTTAGTGCTTACCTTTCAAATTTATGTTTCTGACATGAAGTGTGTGAAAATAAAGAATGAAGTGACTGAGAAGCTGAGGTTTCTCCTCTGATTGTTAAAATATATGTATCTACTTTTTAAATTTAGTTTCTCTAAATATCTAGGTATTGTTTTATTTTACTATGTTTTCTTAGTGTCTTTCCAAATTCTAAGAAAAATATCACACACTCAATGTACTTGTGAATTTGACCAGGGAATTTAGGAAAGTGGATTTAAAAAAATGTGAAAGAACTTAATTGATTATGTTGAGCTTTTAATGTAACTGACATTTGCGAGTGTTTTAGCTGGAAGGTAAGGAGCACTTTTCGGGTGATTACTGGCCTCAGAGAGTAAACTGAAAGACTTGTGAAAATGGTGAATATTTGAGAGGCTTGGGAGATAGGCTTGTCATGCAGACTTGCTAGGGAGTGGTAAGATTCACGTGTAGACCTCACTGTTTATTAGACCACTATTGTTTCACTTTCTGTTCTTCAGAATCACTTTTAGGTAAGCCCATTGCCTCTGGCATCACATTTTAGAGGCTAAAGTAGAAGTAATTAAGGGCAAAGGAATCTATTTGCTATTTGTTGACAGGTTTCTTTTGTTTGTGTGCTCTTCTATCTTGTTTAACTTCTCATACTTGAGTGTTGGTTAGAGATAATGTCAAATAATCTACTCAGCTACCTCTAGGCTAAACTCCGAAACTGTGATTCTCTTACTCCTAGCCCTAAGTAAGAAAAACCATGGGTGGCTGCAGTTATTTTTCTAAAGTATCAGTTTTTCTCAACTAATCTGGGGAAAACATTTTGTACTAAAACAAGATTTTTCTCATGGAAGACAACATTGAATTTGCAAAAATTATTCATATAAAATGTGACTCCTTAAAAAGTGACCTGTTTTCAGCAAGTATATTAGGACCCATCCTAGAATATTTCAAAGACTGTTTTTTCCCTCCATCCTTGGAGCTTCTGGCAGAGAAACTTGAAGACTTAGGACAAACAGACTGATGTTGAAGACAAGAGGAGACGTTTTTCATATGAGGAAATAAAAATGTTTCTCATTTGGCTTGCTTGTGTTTAAACATTTGTATTAATCTAGCATAGCTGCTTGTTTAGAAGTGCTTGTGACTTAAAGTGATTTCCCCCGTCATTTTCAAACTTTTATTTAGAGAACATAAATAAAGCTCTTCTGTTTCCTTCTGTCTTTGTGCATAGTTTACTTTCCAGTAAGACTTTTTCCCAAAACAACATTGACTTTTCCACAAAGACACTGAAGAACTCTACAGGTTTCATTGCTTTATTCAGCATTTAAAAGGGAAAAGAGAACAATGAACTGTGTCTGGAAAGAAATAATGTTTTCAAAGGAAAGTAAAGGGTAAATGTGGCTGAACACAAAATAGAGGTTACTGCTGTAGGAACAAGAGTTTTAATGACAATAAAAATTGTACAGAGTCATTTTCTTCTACTCACCACCTCTGCCATTCTGAAGTTTTTCAATTTCCTTCATTCTCACCATCCACTCAACACCAGGCAAAACAGCAGAGAAAATTATATCCTCTTGATGCCTTTGTTGCTTTCTGGGAGAACTTTCTGTAAATAGACATTTAGTGTCCTGAAGAAAAAGCAGTTTTCTTCTGTGCATTGAATCAGAAGTAGAATTTCCAGTATGAAGAAAGGTCATCCATCCAGCATCTTCCACTTCTCTTCCTAGACACACTTGTGTTCTGCTTTTAATCACCCAGCATTACATCTCTAATGTGTTTTACTATTTTGAACTAGTAGGTTTTGCTTTTTAAAAAACCATAGTCATCAAAAGATTATAGCAGAAAAGTAACAAAGCACTTGCCATAGATTGTCTATGTTGGAAAAGATGTCTAAGCCTTATATTTTTATTGCATATCTCTGTTAGTGAAGAGCTTACGAAGTTCTAAGCTGAAACACACTTCAAAAACTTTAAAAAGTTCCAACTATTCGCTCATTTTCTTTAAAGTGCAGACACCATAGCTGGTACCTGGCAGGAATTCCTTCTCACTTTCTATGAGCACATTTACAGGTGCATGTTCTGATTTTCAACTAATGGTCACTGCAGGGAACTTGAATGCCAGTGTTTGATCATCTGTCGATGGAAATGATTATCTTATGGAGACGATCAATGGAAATGATCATCTACCTAATGGAGGAAACAAGATACACAAACCACACTACATAGTTAATGCCCTGTAGAGGTAGATGTATGTATATGTGTGTGTGTGTGTGTGTGTGTGTGTGTGTGTGTATGTTTGTGCACATGTGCAATATAATACTGGAGTACACTTGACCCATAATCTAGGAGAAATGATGCATGTGTGTCATGCTTTTGTTTCCTTATTTGTAAAACTGGAATAGTAGTGGTTCCTACTTAAAGAACCTTTATGGGGCTATTTTGAAGGTTAAAGTGTTAAAAGATTAAAGCACCTAGAATAGCAGATCACACAGTAAACATTTGATTATCAGTGCTACCTTTGCCATTGCCATAACTGTAACTAGTCATGGATAAGCATCTGTCAGTGGGATCATCTATACTTAAGAGTCCTTGTAGGAGATATGTGGAAGGCTTCTGCTCACTTTGAAAGGTACACAAGGTGCCAGGCTTTGATAATGGCTGACAGTCATTGAAAAAGTGGAAGGACCAATGAAGTCCTTGACTTTCTTAAGCTGTTTTTGAGATGAGGAGCAGGAATAGAGATAACATTAAAATGAAGGATTAGTAAAGGAGAAAATGAACTGACCTTTGAAATTTCGCCCTTATGTAAGTGGGTTTATCATGGAGGCAACGGCTCTTTTTCCTATGTCCTGCAGGATGTGGGGTCGCTTGAAATTGGACTATGTGAAAGAGAGTGTTGCTTATCTATTTCCATCTGTAGTGGAGGAAAGGCAGGAGGAAATAGATTACATGGTAGGAGGTAGTGGATTAGCAGTTTGCTTCCACACAGTGAAACTTAATTGCACAGTAGAATGAATGAGTGGGTACGCTGGAGAATTTTGTTTGTTTATTCCTTTACTGATAAGTCTGTCTTCAATTCTACTACAGGTGTCATTCTGGGTTAGATGAGGAAGGAAAACAGGAATATTGTTTTCCATTCATTAGACATTCACTTTTTTATGCTTTTCTTTTTTTTTTAAACTAAGAAGTAAGAATAAAAATACATAGAACTTCTTTTAATTAGGTACTATCTAAACTAAGCTATTTTTCTTGCCAGCATGATATGAAATAGTTGATTAGAAATGATTTTTGAAACCAATATTTCATTGCTAAATTGCCTTTTTCATGTTTGGTCACACCTGGCACCAATGGAAAGCAATGCTTGCAATATGCAAATCTATATTCCAAAAAGCATTTGCTTTGTTTTCTTTCCCTTTTTGCAATACCAAAAGGCTTAGATGTGTTTGAATTTCTTCTTTACTAATTGGTTTTCTCAGCTAGAAGTATGCCTCAATGATATTGGATAGCAACTATGCAAATATGTGCTAATCCGGCAAAGGAAATAAAATAGTGATGATACTTTGTACTTTCTGAATGAAAGACACTCCTAGGTTAGTTTTTAGAGTTTATCAAGCAGGAAAGAGTGGGACAAAACACAACTATTACTGTGGGACACATAAGGCAATCGTGAATGTAGAAGATGAACGGAATTTCCAGTATCCCTGAGTCTGTGCTCAGGTACACAAGAAAGGCATGCACTCTGTTCCCTGATCTAGAATGCAGGGAACTTGAATGCCAGTGTTTGATCATCTGTCGATGGAAATGATTATCTTATGAAGACGATCAATGGAAATGATCATCTATCTAATGGAGGAAACAAGATACACAAACCACACTACATAGTTAATACCCTGTAGAGGTAGATGTATGTATGTGTGTGTGTGTGTGTGTGTGTGTGTGTGTGTGTGTGTGTTTGTGCACATGTGCAATATAATACTGGAGTACATGGGAGAATTCCAAAGACATTTATGTGTGCAGGTTAAAGAGCCAGCTTTTATTTTTTACTGTACTTTAAATATAATAATTTTAGATGGTACCACTCACACTTAGAATCGAATGGCTCCAAGCCGATGTGTTACTGTTCTCTACTTGCTTTGGGATGTGCTGAAGCAGGCTCTGTGAGGAAACTTTCCCCTACCATGAGTCTACATTGTGCAGAGACTGGAAGTTCTCATTTCTAAAAGACAGCTCTGAAGAAAATTAAACCTGACAGTGCAAATGTTAGAGGCATCTGAGTTAGATAAAGATATAAGCAGTCAGACAGGGGTAGGCCCTTGAAGGAGCTAGCACAGAAGGCCAGATATCATGAAACCACAGGGGAGACTGATACCTCCTGCTGTGGGCCAGCCCTCAAAACAAAAGTCAAATCACATACTTCCTAAGTACAAGCATCAGGAATTGATATTCTAACTAGGTCTGTGTCACCCTGAGGAAGCCAGATGTCACATCTCAACCCCCCAGAGGAAGAGTCACTGCTCTTTATGTGTATCCTCTTGCTGAGTGATTCGCTTTCCCATTTGTCTCTGATTTAGTCAAATTTACCTGTGCAAATAATTTTACTTGTTGACCATAATTGGTCCCACTCCATGCCTACCTTGAAAGTTCTCATGTTTTCCCCACCTTACACTTCTCTTACTTTATGGTTTTGCTCTATAAAAGTCCCTAGAAAAGACTGTCTTTGGCAACCTACTCGGGACCCCTTCTGTCTGTCTCTCAGACAGAAACTTTCTCTCAATAAATATATTCTGCTCTTAATTTTCATTGCTAATGAAAGAGTTTTGGCCCAGACAGGACACTGTAGCCGGTAAAGCCTCAGGCGGAACCAAGGAGCTCCTATCTCCCCCACCCCTAGGAATTTATCTCTGGCACCAAAAGAATACCAATGGGCTACCTGTGCATCCTTAATGCCCCTCAGGCACCACCCCTAACCTAAGCTACATGTGTGCCTCCACTCCACGTGTTCCACGGAGAGATTGCCCACCCTTGGCGTGGAGATGCCATACCCCATGGGGGTCGGGGGTGTCTCTCCCACATTCTCAAAATAAAGGTCATTTATATTTCATACTTCTTATCTTTTCAGCCACCGCCGGTCCCCACAGTTCTGTCACTAAAACTCATCCTTCAGTTTTATAGAACACAAACTCATACTAGACATATAGCAAGTTATGAGTTTCAGTCCTCTATATCACAAGGAAAACAAACATATTCTACAGCAGATTTCTTTAATCTTCAGTTTATGGTTTAAAAGAAATCTATTCTGCTCTTCCCTAGAATGAAATCTGGATATAAGAAAGAGCTTTTAGACCAAGGATTTCTATCCTAGTTATATAATCTGGAAGAAACAACAGCAGCAATAACATTGCTTATTAGTTTCTTTCTGAGTACTTCAGAAACAATTTTGTTTGTAATTCAATTCACTAAATTTCATTTCATTTCTTTCCTTCCTTCTTCCCTTTCTTCTTTCCTTCCTTTCTCCCTCCTTCTTTTCCTTCCTTCCTATGTATCCTTGCTTTCTTTCTTTTATTCCTTCCTCTTTATTTCACTGTTGTTTATGTTATTTCTTTGGAGTAGATTTTTGTTTTGCTTTTGGCTGTTTAGGAAGAATTTTGATGTGAGCTGTATAGTGTGATAGCTCGGACCCCACAATAAAATCCAAGGAAGCAAGAAATTAAAATTTGGGGAGCAAAGGCTTTATTTTAGGCCAGGCCTGGCGACGCAATCCCTGGGAGCCAATTTGGAGACTGCGTGCCTGACAGCTAAAAGGCAGGGCTTTTATCTTGTAAAAACCACAAACAACTGCTGGTCTCACAATGCAAGGAGGGGGATAGGGGTGTGGCACACTACAGAACAGGAACATGGCGATTACATTGGGAAGAGCAAAGTTCAGATAAGGGTTGGGCTAACAAGCAAGTCTCCCTGCATACAAGCAAATTTAGATTGGGCAAACATCTTTCCCTCAGCAGAGAATAGAGAAGTCTAGCAGTAATTAACAACCCCTGTTAGCTTATTTTAGCACCACATCTGTTATTTGTAGAGGGCAACAATGGTTAACATACCAATTAGGTAAGATTTTACAATTTTTACAGAGGAGAGCATTTCTTAAAGAACAGCACATTTTATTACAGATAGCCAGATCAGGGGTAGGGAAGGGGGTTGCAGGATACTGAAACCTAAGGCT